GTGTGTGTGTGTGTGTGTGTGTGTGTGTGTGTGTGTGTGTGTGTGTGTGTGTGTGTGTGTGTGTGAGAGACATGGACATAGATGGATGGGAGAGCGGAGGATGAAATTATAAGGGTAAATGTCACACCTGCCTATCACGTCACCGTTGCTCCGTGTGACACGCCGGGTGGGCAGTGTGGCATTTACACTCACACACGCTCACACACATGAGCTCTTACACACGGATCACAAGCCGGCTTTATATTAGATCACCTGGGAGTTATAATGACGTGTTATTGTAATGAGCGAGTTTAATTATCCTGCTAGTATAAGAGAAGGGCAAAATGTAGCTGTCAGATGAAGGTGAACTGTAAAATGATCATGAACTGCTTTGTACTTTAACTGTGTTTTTTTTTTTATAATTTCTGTATGCAATTTATAATTTTCTTTACTTCTAGTGTACCAATAAGACGTGAAATGTTATAATTCACACTGTTTATCAGGGTGGTCAGCAGTCTTTATATCAAAGCATATAATGATGAATAGTTGTAGAATAATTTATTTTTGAGCTCATGCTGTAGTTTTGATGTCAATACCATTGACATCATGTTTTGTTGAACACGTTATTTTTACCCCAAAAGAGGAAGGAAAGAAGAGCATACATTTTGTACACAAGAAAATTATGCCAGTAAGATGTTTTTTTTCTTCTTCCCAATGTTACATAATTTTGTTTTGACATTTAATTCTATTTATGTGGGTTTGAAAGGCCATTTTCAAGTAGGAAGAAGTGTTTTTTTTTTGTCACTGAAATCGTGAGTGAATCTCTTAATTGCATAAAGATAATTAAGCCTATTTGTAGGAGCAGTAAGAGTTTTTGCATTGTTACTATTTTTATGATAATTATGCACATTATTGTACTTTTGAGGGCTTTTTGAAATTCTTATTGAATAAACAATGAATAAACAAATAAATAGATGTATATAGATACTTTAGAAATTATAATTATGCATGTATTTATTTTTATTATAGACACAATGTTGCCTACTATAGTCTAAAATAGCCTTAACTTTCTGTGTGTGTGTGTGTGTGTGTGTGTGTATATATATATATATATATATATATATACACACACACATCCGTTTTTTTTTTTTTGCATATTTGTCACACTTAAAAGATTCAGATCATCAAACAAATTGTAATATTACACAATGATAACCCGAGTAAATACAAAATGCAGTTTTTAAATAATGAATTAATTTATTAAGGGAAAAAAGCTGTCCAAACCTGCCTGGCCCTACGTGAAAAGTAATTTCCCCCTAAATCTAATAACTGCTTGTGCCACCCTTTGCAACAACTGCAATCAAGTGTTTGCGATAACTGGCAATGAGTCTTTCACATCACTGTGGAGGAATTTTGGCCCACTCTTCTTTGCAGAATTGTTTTAATTCAGCCACACTGGAGGGTTTTCCAGAATGAAAGGACTGTTTAAGGTCATGCCACAGCATCTCAATCAGATTTAAGTCTGGACTTTGACTTGGCCACTCCAAAACCTTAATTTTGTTTTTTTTTAGCCATTCAGAGGTGGACTTGCTGGTGTGTTTGGGATCAAACTGCATGCATAACTGCATAACTGCTGCATAACCCGAGTGCGCTTGAGCTTGAGGTCACAAACTGACGGCCGGACATTTTCTTTCAGGATTTTCTGATAGAGTGCAGAATTCATGGTTCCATCAATTATGGCAAGTCGTCCAGGTCCTGAAGCTGCAAAGCAGCCTAAAGGTGACTTGACTTGACTTGACCTTCCAAAAAGTTCAGCTTTTGTCTCATCAGTCCACAGAATATTTGCCCAAAAGTCTTGGGGATAATCAAGATATTTTTTGGCAAATGTGAGACGAGCCTTTGTGTTATTTTTGCTCAGCAGTGGCTTTTGCCTTGGAACTCTCCCATGGATGCTGTTTTTGACCAGCTTTTTGTAGGCCGGCCACTCCTGGGAAGGTTCACCACTGTTCCAAGTTTTCTCCTTTTGTGGATAATGGCCAATGCCTTAGAAATGGCTTTATAACCCTTTCCAGACTGATACATGGCATTTTGTTTCTCATCTGTTCTCGAATTTCTTTAGATCGTGGCATGATGTGTTGCTCTTCAAGCATGCTTCACTTTGATTTCTTGATTCAACAGGTCTGGCAATAATCAGGCCTGGGTGTGGCTAGTGAAATTTAACTCAGTTTTCTAAAATAATGTGGTTAATCACAGTTCTTTCATGATTTAACCGGAGGGAGCAATTGATTTTTCACGTAGGGCCAGGTAGGTTTGGACAGCTTTTTTCCCTTAATAAATGAAATCATCATTTAAAAACTGCATTTTGTATTTACTTGCATTATCTTTGTCTAATATCAAAAGTTGTTTGATGATCTGAATCTTTTAAGTGTGACAAATATGCAAAAGATTACGCATATGTTCTTGACAACTGATGGATGGATATTCAGCCATGTCCATTTTCTAAATATACCTGAGGGAGAAAAAATTACAGTTGTTTGCGTGTGTGTGTGTGTGTGTGTGTATCCTTCTAAATGTATCCTTTTCTCTGCTAACTGACAGGAATTTCAGAGCAGAGTTGTTGTGCACAAACCTATTTCTCCAGTGGCACATGCTCAGAGGTGGGTAGTAACGAAGTACATTTACTCCGTTACATTTTCTTGAGTACATTTTTTAAAAATTTGTACTTTTAAGAGTAGATTTAAAGATGTATACTTTTACTTTAACTCGAGTACATTTATAACGAAAAAATCTGTACTTTTACTTCGCTACACTGGGCAACGTTCCTCTCGTTACTTAATTTTTATGCAATACATGTTAAGAAATGCGTAATTTATTACAAGCGCACTGTGTCTTTTATCTGGAGAACGATGCCTCAGTCGCGAATTAATCACTCTTTTGAGTCAAGGCCTTGAACAAATATGCCTGCAAAATGGTCTGAATTGGTTCGCGAATCACTTCGGATGATTTGTTCAGTTCCCTGCACGCACTGAATCGTCTGAAGCGGTTTGTCATTCTTACCGGGAAATTTAAGAACACTGAGAACATAGACAGTCAACTGAAGCTAAATCTGCAAATTCTACTGTTGACCTGCAATGAGGATCTTTATTAGTTGAACACCGTGTGTGCTGTCTGTGAACGATTCCATAGGTATGCATTCAATTTCAAGTAATTCTCTGTAGTAGGCCTAGTGGTATGGACTGTCACATGAAATGTGTAAAGTGAAATGAATTAAATTGTCGATCGCGGCATTTCATTTATTGTAGGTTTGCTTTATTACATTGCATCAATTTCTTTTTTTTTACTTAAATTTCACACTTTTCCCCTTTATTAGGCCTAATCGACCAGTGGTGTAATGTAACGAAGTAATAATACTTTGTTACAGTACTTAAGTATTTTTTGGGAGTATCTGTACTATACTTATATATTTATATAGTTTTTATATTTCAGCCAACTTTTACTTTTACTCCACTACATTTCCTAATTAAAATGCATTATTTTACTCCGATACATTTCCCCGAAGCATATTCGTTACTTACTTCAAAATAGTCAGAAGTCAGAAGAACATGGACTGCAAGAAAGCAAGTTTGACAAATCAGTGGTCTGGCATCTGCAAGTTAAGACTCCTAAAAACACCTTTGCTCACGTGCAAACAAATGCACACACGACCGCAGATGATTTCATTTTCCACTCAAGTCGAGTCTGGGGTCTGCGATATACAGTATATCTTCTGCGATAATATGGTAAGTGTTGTTGTAATGATGTGCGATCTGACATTATCAAGTATATAACCAAATCACATAGAGTGCATGCACGTGATTTATTAGTCTATTAAAACTCAAAATTCAAGGCATTCTAAATTGTAGATGGCAAAAAATGCTTCTGTATGCTTTTTATATTTATATAATTTAATATAGTTAACTTAATCTATATCACACAGAGAATACCGTTTTTTTGCAGATATCAGCATAACAAATGTAATAATCATTTTATACAAGTTCAGTAAAGTTAGGAATAAGTGACTTACATTAGACATAATATTGCTCGTTTTTGCTCAATTTTGCCAACGAAAATAGTTCGAAACAAAGATCACAGCACTGTTTTGCGTCTCTCTCTGAGCAAAGGACGATGTTTACTTATCGAATGAATCAGCTTTTTGAACAAATATGTTGAATAAATGATTCAGTGATTCACTCATTAACACAGTCAAATGCTTTGTTCCTGAATGAATCAGTCGTTTGAACGAATCTATTGAAGCTCAGTGACTCATTAACAGTCACTTGCTGTCACCTACTGGTGATTTTAATTTCACATTTAGACATTTTTTTTCATGTTTGAAGTCATTTCAAATATCAGTATTCAATGTTTTATGTTAAAAACAAAACATTATTTATCCATCTGTAACTGCAGGTTAAATGCATCCATGTCCCCTCTGAACTACATTAAACTGTGTAAATACATCTAAATGCTATTTCAGATGCAGAATCTATTGAAGCTCAGTGACTCATTAACAGTCACTTGCTGTCACCTACTGGTGATTTTAATTTCACATTTAGACATTTTTTTTCATGTTTGAAGTCATTTCAAATATCAGTATTCAATGTTTTATGTTAAAAACAAAACATTATTTATCCATCTGTAACTGCAGGTTAAATGCATCCATGTCCCCTCTGAACTACAATAAACTGTGTAAATACATCTAAATGCTATTTCAGATGCAGATTCCAGAAATGATTTCTTATGTTGTCTTTGGATAAAAGCGTCTGCTAAATGACTAAATAAAATAAAAAAATAATAAAAAATGTTGGAATGAAAGACACTAAGTACCATATGAAGTGCTTCTTATTCTTACCCAAAAATACAAAATGGAAGAAAGAGTTCAAACTAAACACAATCTTGCTACTCAAGCTGTGTATGATTTTTTTTTTTTATATAAATGTATTTGCTTATTTTCCATTTTGCATTTACTTGTACTTTTACTTTCAATACTTAAGTACATTTAAGATAAAAAAAATACTTTTTGTACTTAAGTACAATAAATATCACATACTTTAAAACTTTTACTCAAGTAATATTCTAAACGGTGACCTACTTATTTATGGTCATTGATATCAAGAAAATGAATAATCAGAAATAATAATTTTTTTTTTTTATGACATTGCAGCTTCACCCTTTAATGAGTTGTTTTTTTTTATAGGCTATTTACATTATGCAGTTTTGTTTAAATACGTGTACACGATGTTACACATTTGCAGTGTAAAGAGGGCTTTTGTTGATGTAAAAAATGAGATTGGTAACAGTCTATAGTGTTGTGATTGATTGACGTAACTGGTTAAATTTGATATATATATATAAAAAAATAAACAGAATTAATAAGGTAGATATAAAATTGTGAAATCAGTTCATTTCTGGTGCAGATTATATATATATATATATATATATATATATATATATATATAATCTCCAAAGTAACTAGTAACTCGCTACTTCAGTAGATTTTTCTTTGGTACTTTTTTACTCTTACTCAAGTAACTATTTGGACTGCAACTTTTACTCTTACTTGAGTAATTATTTCAGTAACTACTTGTACTTTTACTTGAGTACAGTTTTCGGCTACTCTACCCACCTCTGCACATTCATGTTTTATTAGTCTATTCATTCCTTGCTTGGACATCCATTTACATTTGTCTGACTGCATATATTTGTCACTTCAGTTGTCTTTCAGTCGGTCACTACGAGTCACGTCGGTGAGCGACGAATTGGGATCTCGCTTATGCCGAGTTCACACGGCATGATTTTAGCCCGATTTTTCACTCGCCGACAGGTTTTGCGAAATTGCCGACAAATGCCCGAAATCGGAGGAAAATCGGTGCTCGTTCACGCGAGTGAAAATCATGCAGTGTGAATTATCAAAGACGCGATCTGAGGGAATTGCCGATGCGTCGCCGACGCGCGTGAAATATTTGGCATGCTAAATATCTGGAGCTGTAGGCGATTCACAATCACGCAGTGTGAAATGAGTTCTGACTGAAAAACACATTGGCGATGACCTACAGCCAATGAGAGACCAAGATACAGGGCAGCGGGAAGTTCGGGGAGGAGTTATATGAAAC